CTATTTATTGTGTTTATTTTGATAATAACAGTTTATGAAATAATAAACAGAGAAAAATGTTACAAGCGTCACCTAAGTTGATGTCCTTATCTTTTCGAGCTATTAAGACTCGATCGTGTACTATCAGAATTATTTTATAGACAATCTTTGAACCTACTCTTATCTTTTTGAGCTATTAAGACTAATAATACTATATAAATTAATACTTTTATTCATCTATCTTATCCAGTGGAATGTGTTTTAATTTTGTAATATATATGGTTATGTTTGTATATGGATAGGAATGAAATGTGGAGGGTTAAATCAGTGTTATATTGTGTTATGATAAAACTTTCTTTTCTCGGCTATTTCATTACGCACAATATGTTTTTCTTTTTCTTTTTCTTTTTTATTTTTTTTTGTTTTTTTCTTTTTTTCAGGTTTGATACGAAATGATTCTCCCTCGGACTCAAGCAATTCGATCACCTGACGGTAAAGGAGGAGTACTTGACGCTTTGCCTCCTTGTGCTCGCTAACGGATGAACAAAGCTAGCAAAGTACTTCGTCCGACTAGTAAATGTTCACCCGCTTATATACCTTAAGCCAGGGCTGATGGGATCCACATGTTGGTCCTATAGGTCCCGTTTAAGTCGCCAATGGTCATGAGTGATCGAAAACCTTCTTTGGGTCGCCTCGTTGCTCTCCCCATCCGACGACGTCATCGCTGCCGACAATGCCATCGTTGTGGCACCTCTTGTGCCCCCCAGCGCTTGCCCCAAGGGAAATGTATTCAGGCACCCTGAGCACCCTACCGCCACCGGAGGTCAGAAGGAGGCGCTTGCGCTAGTCGTGGAAGAGCCCGAGGCGAGGCTTCCTCGACACTGCTGCTAGGCTTCCGATGGCCGACATTGTGCCCGCCTAGGGCATGATACGACCCGAATGCCTACCGGTAGACGGAAGGCCTGTACTCGAGCTTCGCCGGCCAAGTCGGAGGACAACAATGGCAGGCGACGAGTACCGGGCCCTCATCCGCGAGCGAGCACTAGGAGGCAAAGCGCCAAGTACTCCTTTGCTGATCGAAGCGCTTGGGTCCGAGGGAAAATCGTTCTATATCAAACGTGAAAAAAAAAACGAAAAAGAAAAAAAATATATTGTGCATAATGAAATAGTTGAAAAAAAAAGTTTTACCATAACACAGATTTAACCCTCCCCATTTTATTCCTATCCACATACAAACACAACTATATATATTACAAAATTAAAACACATTCCACTAGATATGATATATGAATAAAAATATTAACCTATATAGTGCTATTAGTCTTAATAACTAAAAAAAATAAGAGTAGGTTCAAGAATTGTCTATAAAATGATTCTGATAGTACACGATCGAATCTTAATAGCTCAAAAAGACAAAAGACGTCAACTATAGTAACGTTTGTAACATTCTTCTCTATTTATTATCTCATAAACTGTAATAATCAAAATAAACACGATAAATAACATAAAAACAAATAGTATCACACACTTAGTCATCATGTGATGACTAAATGTATGATACTATTTATCTTTATACTATTTATTGTGTTTATTTTGATAATAACAGTTTATGAAATAATAAACAAAGAAGAATGTTACAAGCGTCACCTCAGTTGATGCCCCTTATCTTTTCGAGCTATTAAGACTCGATCGTGTACTATCAAAATTATTTTATAGACAATCTTTGAACCTACTCTTATCTTTTTGAGCTATTAAGACTAATAATACTATATAAATTAATACTTTTATTCATCTATCTTATCTAGTGGAATGTGTTTTAATTTTGTAATATATATGGTAATGTTTGTATATGGATAGGAATGAAATGTGGAGGGTTAAATCAGTGTTATACTGTGTTATAATAAAACTTTCTTTTCTCGGCTATTTCATTACGCACAATATGTTTTTTTTTTTCTTTTTAGTTTTTATTTTTATTTGTTTTTTTCTTTTTTTCAGGTTTGATACGAAATGATTCTCCCTCGGACTCAAGCACTTCGATCACCTGCCGGTAAAAGAGTATTTGACGCTCTGCCTCCTTGTGCTCGCTGACGGATGAGCAAAGCTAGCAAAGTACTTCGTCCGACTAGTAAATGTTCACCCGCTTATATACCTTAAGCCAGGGCTCATGGGATCCACATGTTGGTCCTATAGGTCTCGTTTAAGTCGCCAATGGTCATGAGTGATCGAAAACCTTGCTTGGGTCGCCTCGTTGGGGAGAGCTCGTTGCTCTCCCAATCCGACGACGTCATTGCCTCATTAGGGAGAGCTCGCCCCCTTCGACGACGTCATCGCTGCCGACACTCCCGTCGTTGTGGCACCTCTTGTGCCCCCCAGCGATTGCCCCTAGGGAAACGTATTCAGGCACCATGAGCACCCTGCTGCCACCGGAGGCCGGAAGGAGGCGCTTGCGCTAGTCGTGGAAGAGCCCGAGGCGAGGCTTCCTCGACACCGCTGCTAGGCATCCGATGGCTGGCCTTGTGCCCGCCTAGGGCATGATACGACCCGAATGCCTACCCGTAGACGGAAGGCCTGTACTCGAGCTTCGCCGGCCTAGTCGGAGGACAACAATGGTAGGCAATGAGTACCGGGCCCTCATCCGCGAGCGAGCACTAGGAGGCAGAGCGCCAAGTACTCCTTTGCTAATCGAAGCGCTTGGGATCGAGGGAAAATCATTCCATATCAAACCTGAAAAAAAAAACGAAAAAGAAAAAAAATATATATTGTGCATAATGAAATAGTTGAAAAAAAAAAAGTTTTACAATAACACAGTATAACAAATATTTAACCCTCCCCATTTTATTCCTATCCACATACAAACACAACTATATATATTACAAAATTAAAACACATTCAACTAGATAAGATAGATGAATAAAAGTATTAACCTATATAGTGCTATTAGTCTTAATAACTCAAAAAAATAAGAGTAGGTTGAACGATTGTCTATAAAATGATTCTGATAGTACACGATCGAGTCTTAATAGCTCAAAAAGACAAAAGACGTCAACTTAGGTGATGTTTGTAACATTCTTCTCTACTTATTATCTCATAAACTGTCATAATCAAAATAAACACGATAAATAACATAAAAACAAATAGTATCACACACTTAGTCATCATTTGATGACTAAGTGTATGATACTATTTATCTTTATACTATTTATTGTGTTTATTTTGATAATAACAGTTTATGAAATAATAAACAAATAAAAATGTTACATGCGTCACCTCAGTTGATGCCCCTTATCTTTTCGAGCTATTAAGACTCGATCGTGTACTATCAGAATTATTTTATAGACAATTTTTTAACCTACTCTTATCTTTTTGAGCTATTAAGACTAATAATACTATATAAATTAATACTTTTATTTATCTATCTTATCTAGTGGAATGTGTTTTAATTTTGTAATATATATGGTTATGTTTGTATGTGGATAGGAATGAAATGTGGAGGATTAAATCAGTGTTATACTGTGTTATGATAAAACTTTCTTTTCTCGGCTATTTCATTACACATAATATGTTTTTCTTTTTCTGTTTTGTTTTTATTTTTTTTGTTTTTTTCAGGTTTGATACGAAACGATTCTCCCTCGGACTCAAGCACTTCGATCACCTGCCGGTAAAGGAGGAGTACTTGATGCTCTGCCTCCTTGTGCTCGTTGACGGATGAGCAAAGCTAGCAAAGTACTTCGTCCGACTAGTAAATGTTCACCCGCTTATATACCTTAAGCCAGGGCTGATGGGATCCACATGTTGGTCCAAAGGTCCCGTTTAAGTCGCCAATGGTCATGAGTGATCGAAAACCTTGCTTGGGTCGCCTCGTTGGGGAGAGCTCGTTGCTCTCCCCATCCGATGACGTCATCGCCTCGTTGGGGAGAGCTCGCCCCCTCCGACGACGTCATCGCTGCCGACACTCCCGTCGTTGTGGCACCTCTTGTGCCCCCCAACGCTTGCCCCAAGGGAAACGTATTCAGGCACCCCAAGCACCGGTGCACCCTGTCGCCACCGAAGGCTGGAAGGAGATGCTTGCGCTAGTCTTGGAAGAGCCCGAGGCGAGGCTTCCTCGACACCTCTTATGCCCGCCTAGGGCCTGATACGACTCGAATGCCTACCCGCAGACGGAAGGCCTGTACTCGAGGTTTGCCGGCCGAGTCGGAGGACAACAATGGCAGGCGATGAGTACCGGGCCCTCATACGCGGGCGAGCACGAGGAGACAGAGCACCAAGTACTCCTGCTTTGTCGGTAGGTGATCGAAACGCTTAGGTCCGAGGGAGAATCGTTCCATATCAAACCTGGAAAAAAAAAAAGCAAAAAAAATAAAAAAATAAAAAAGAAAAAAAAAACATATTATGCACATATAAGCGATTCTAATTGTCTTAATTTTGCTTATCTTAATGATGATAATTATTGCTTTTATTTATCTATCTTGGATGTGTGATTAAGTGTTAGGAATATGCTTTAATTTTGTTAATAAAGGTTGTGGAGATGGTTAACGGGCCGGAGAAGGAGATCGTTGGGCTTATCCGCGGGTGCATCAAGACCGTGGCCTGAGGCACCCCCTTCCCCTGTTATTACCCTCACCCTCAAAGCACCACACCGCCCCCATCTATGTGAAGGTGGACCTCCGCGGCTCCCCCTGCTTGTACGAGATCTACCGAACGCGTTACTGATGGTGGTGATGGCAACGTGGGCAGCCGACTGAGACTTGCTTGACCACGATGTTCCTCTTCAGACACAATGCGGTTTCCGATCACTCATAGTCATTGGCAACTTAAATGAGACCCATAGGATGAACATGTGGATCCCATCAGCCTTGGCTTAAAGTATATAAGCGGGTGAACATTTACTAGTCACATGAAGTACTTTGCTAACTTTGCTCATCCGCGAGCACGAGGAGGCAGAGAGCCAAGTACTCCTCCTTTGTCGCAAGAAGTACTTTGCACAATATGTTTTTTTTGCCGACAAAGGAGGAGTAACTCTTTTCTCTGGCTCGTGTAACGCTCTGCGAGTGAAAACAACGAAGACATGTTAAATAAATTAATTAAAAGTCTCCTGTCTTTTGCATTGTTTACAAGGAGAGGCACGCCACCTGTAGAAGGAGACGTCTACTAGAGTCGAAGGTCACCACATATAGGGTGAGTCCACTAGCAACTTCATGAATATGCCAGCAAACCCATATCCAAGAAACTACACACCATAAGGGCATTTAAAGCCGTTACTTCTTTACCGGAAGTAGGGAAAGATCAATTGGAATTAACTAAGTAACTAAACCATCGAATAATAAATAAATCATCCAACAATAACTAACAAACTAACTAAACCATCAAAATTCAGCACCATATTATTACCTTTTCTTTATATAAAAAAAAGAATAAATAATGATTTTTTTAATACCAATTTCTCGATACTAAACCATCAAAATTCAACACCATATTATTACCTTTTCTTTATAAAATAAAAGAATAATAATGATTTTTTTTAATACCAATTTCTCGATACTAGAAGAAGAAATCACCTGAATCGATAGCACCAGCAGCATGGCCGACAGTAATGGGATATCCTTGTGGTAGAAGATCTTGGATATGGTTAATATTTCAAAGCCGGCAGAAGCACTGTCCGTGCCAGCCAGCTTGGTGGTCACCACATGTTCTTTCAAGTTGAAGGGTCCCGGATTCAACGAGAAACTCCAGTTTGTGTATGGCATCCTCACCACTTTGTTTGGTAGCATATTAGCCATTAGTTTCCCAACGATGAGCACGATGATGTTGATGCAGACTTGTGGTAAATCGAACATTTGCTGTCGGTAAGAAGATAATGCTGCAATTACGGACCCGAGGATGCAAATGGGGATTCCGATAAACCATGTTCGGAACGTCAAGACATGCAATGTATTATCATCTGTAGGTGGGACTGTCAACCGAACTTGCTCGATCGGAGAGTCATCCAGAATCGAACCTGAAAGAAGAGGAGAGGGGAAGGCAGAAAGATGACAGAATGAACTAAAACGAAAGATATCAGGACATATCACCTTCTTCGTTGGTGATATCTTTTGAATAAGGATGACTGTAAGAAGTCAAAACGAAAGATGTCAGGGGCATATCACCTTCTTCATCGGCCATTTGATAGGTCTCCTATTAGAGAGAATAAGTTGTATGTTGAGCAGATATAAAGGATCAAAGCTGCTGCGGGACAGGGCGCACGCGCTGTCGTTCACGGGTGGGAGAGGGATCACAGGACCTGCGGGACAGGACACACGCGTGGTTCTGAAACCACACTTCCTCTTGCTTTGGCCTCAGGTTGAGTTGTTTGGCCAACGCCAGTTTTTGCTTCTGTCATCACGCCGGAGAAGCAGACCCATGTTAGCAACGATTGCTACACCATCATGTATCGGTAGTCACCGAAGGAGAAGAGGGAATTAAGGGGATGAGGGTGTTGTGCTCCTTGAAGCTCTCATTAATTCAATGGTTGGCCAGTGCCTTACATCCTTACCCAACTGGCTATTCTTTTAGCTACAAGAGACCTAAAAGTTGAAAATCCATTTAAAGAAAATAGCTTCTCATGAGTCCGATGACTTCCAAAGCAGACCCAGATTAAGCAAAAGAGTCAGGATTTTCTTCATGCACCTAGGAAAATTCAGCTGGCTTCGACGATGTAAGAGTTCTTAGTTTGGCATCAAATAAAGACACCTTTTTGACACAAGCCAAAGATCTCCCCTCTTTCTCTTAATTTTCTTTTTTTATTCTACCGCTTTTTTATTCTTTAACTGTTGGTGTAGAGATGAAGACAACAGTAGGGTAATCCCATGGTTTCAGTCCTAAAACAATTTGCATATGGTGAGGCACCAGATATTTTGATGCAATAGTTTTGTAACACATCTTATAGCATATGCCTACACCAGCTTCTTCTGGTATTACGTTTGAGGATCACAAAAGATGAATGAATGGCTAAAAATACAAGAGTCTGGCAAAAAGAAGTTTCTTTATTAAAGCTACAAGTACAAAGGCAAACATAGAAGTACTTACTGCCACTGAAATGATGTACTCCAACCTTTGCCAACATTGCATAATACTCGATTTCAGACTTGCGAAGTGGAGGGCAGTTATTAGCAATTATAATTAACTTCCCTGTTTATAAGGAAGTCAGTTAGATTTCAGCAAGTTCAGAAATAGATATACTTTCCAGTGTTTTGCAAGAGGAAGATCACAGCAACACCATGATAGAAGCAATGTTTACCTGTAAATAAATCTAGATACCAAGAACATAGTGTGACACATATATTAACAAAAATAACAACAATACACATGATCAAACATAGTAGACATTAAACTTCTAATGGACAGATAATCTTCATTAACTAGCCATATCGAACTTTCCTAGGGTCACAGACCACAGGACAAAAGCAAGATCGATAGAAATTATAGAATGTTCAACAATTGAAACATGACATCATCAACAAAATCATTATTGCCTGAACCATTAGATACCTTTGAGAATAAAAAGATTGCTTCTTCTCAATAATATAATGTGCAAGTGTGAAGAAGCCTAAATTCTTAAGTCCGAAGTTGCAAACTACACCTACATACAATATAAAAGTGGAACACCATATTCGAACATGAGAACTAAATTTCAAGGGCAGTCGACAAAGGAAAGAAAACGAATATAAACAAGATAAAAGGTAGATATATATGGTTATGTCACTGTTACTCCTAAACTCGACCCAAAGAATTATAACTAAGTCTAACATAAAATACTAGTACCGTACTGATACAATGATAGCCATTGAAAAAAAATCATAGCCTATTGTGCCAAGTACAATCATATTCCCGAACAAAAGATTCAGCAATTATAACCTGTTGGAAAATGTGCAGAATAGTGTTCCTGAGAAGAGACTAACTTTAAACATCATAAAACTCATAAGGACTATGATAGACAAAATCACCAACTGCTAAGTAAGAAAGCAGTAAGATGTGCTTCCTGATGGCAATATGACTTTAGATTAGGCCCAAAACGTCAATATTCCAAAGTGATGCAGGCTACTGACGGCATCTAAACACTAGTAGTTCTTTTTGCAGCAAGTGTGGGACCACTTTCCAGAGTGACATGGTTGACCATGTTAGTGAAAGCAAAGTCAGTTGAAGATCCACACCACTATGAACCAAAACCCAAAAAATAAATATCATATTTAGCACCAAAAATATCAGAATATTTCATGTAAAGAAAAATGAAGAAATTTATCTAGTAAGTGGTTGAAATAAGAGATTGTGGTCTCCTGAAAGTAAAACCAACACAAATATAACAGAACTTGCAATTTCAAGACAACAGAGCAGTAATATATAAATTTGAACAACCTAAAAAGTTTCTGGAAGTCATGCTAACAGGAATTCAAACAGATGCAGCTAAACTAACCTAGAGTAAGCTAATCTTAGTAGTTGTTTGCAATCACTTCTCATACATGTTACTACTACTTGAAAAATAAGAACCAAGAACATTATAATCTTAAATTTTGATTTTAGTCCGGATTTCAAGCACTATCATGGAAGAACTAGCACTATCACAAAAATCAAAAGGCAAAACCCTAAGCACAATCAGCCAGAATGTGCTTACTACAAAAAACTGATTAAATAAATCCGGTAGAGACTTCTTCAAATTAGGATCACACGAAAATTTTACAGCGCATTTAGATAGATAGGTATGATTAGACACATTCAAAGATGAAATCATCCTACAAAATATAATTACTAGGCAGATGATGTTTCACCTTCGGTACGTTCCCCTAGATCTAAGAAGTAAATCTAGACGAATCAGAAGGGAAGAAGGCTGACTTGATATTGGGAACTGCATTCATCTCTAGGGCACATTTAAAAAGCCAAAGAGCCAAACTTCAGCCCCAAAGCACAGCCATCACAAACAAAGCGATAAAAGTTTCAAGCTCAAATTTCTTCCTCCCATCAACAAGTCGACAATCACACCACAGCCAACACATTTCGATTTGGTCAAATTTTACGAGATCTCCAACTCAATATTAAGAATACAACGGAACTCTCGATTAAAGGGGAAATGGGGAAAAGTGCACACGCCTTTGGAGTTGCGGAGGGATCTAAGGACTGTCTTGTACCCGAGGGTGTACTTCCCGCTCTTCATCACGAGAGCGAGCCTGTTGTTTATGCTCTCAGTGCTCTTCTTCTACATCACGAGATTAACGAAGCACAATATCAAGAGACAAGACGAAGGCATCGAAGGCAACGAGATAGTATCGACGGAAACCTACCGCCTTCTTGACGGGCGCCATGGCCGAGGATTGAAGGTGTCAAAGGGGGAGGAGACGGTCTCCGTGGCCGCGGCAGAAAACCCTAGGGGTTTTCTTTTTCTTTTGTTTGTTAATCTTGAGATGGCGAGTCATATAAAACAGTATCCTGCACGTGCGCTACGCGTGATGGTAAATAGCTAAAATGTCATAATTGATCATTCACAAGGCAGCTATTTTCGCTTGTAACCCTCTAAGATTAAGCTTATAGTTTATCTTTTTATTGCTTGACCATTAGAGAGAGCAGGGGCACTAAAATTAAATATTAACCTTTATTTAACAATATATTATTGTAATCATGATAATGTTTTGATTTTTTTATTAATTTTAGTTTTTAAATTATATATATATATATATATAATTTGAAGTCCTAAGCGATTATGTTGGGAGGTATCGCTTAGGATTTTATACAGAAGAAATCAAGTGGTTAATATAAAATAAACAGACTTATGAGTCTTTGGTTCCCATACTCCTCAACTAATATGGGACTAAATGATCTTATCGACCGAGGTGCAGGCCTTGGACCCTCCTTTTAGCACTAATCTGATAAAGGACTATTTGATCGGTCGACAATTAGTGCGACACATAGGCTCGTGAGAAATTATCTGCTTTGGACGATGGGCGTAACCACACGGTTTTATCCTTTCGGAATATGTGACATCAAATACTACTTCACTGATTTAACTTTCTTTTTGGGTCATTTCTTGACATTTGATCTTTACAAAGTCACTTTTCATGTTTTCCTTTCGGTCTTTCTTTTTCTACCATTCATGTTTCATTTGATGTCTCATACAAATAGCAAAAGATGGCTTTAAGAAACAATTGTTTTAGAAGTTTAGATACTTCAAATCAAAAGGTTTTGTTTTAATTTTGGTTACTGGACCGAGACATATCGAGTTTCAAAAAAAGATCTGAAAAAAAAAAAAAAAAGGTTAGTGTCATCCTATGCCAGCTATATTGGGTGGTACAAGCCATGTACCACACATACCATCCGGTTTACTCTGGTCCACGTACTAGTAGGTTATGGAATTGGTAAATACCGCTCATACCAAGCCACACCAGGTGATATTTTTAACTTTAATTTAATTTAATATTTTTAAGTATGCAAGTGTTTATTTTTTTTGCATAATATACCGCTTTTGTTGTGGATTTCAGGCTGCTGGACCAACACTCCTCATATAATTGAATGGTATGTATCCTTACAAACCCAAATTTCCACCTTTATAGAATGTATTCATGACATAGATCATAGTTTCTTCTACCTCTAATAGTTTTTATCAAGACAACTTCATTGTTTATCTACATTCATTAGAATGCCCATGTCTTTGGGACTTAAATTTTATAGTACATTTTCAGCCTTTAATTTCCATTCAAATTTCATATCAGCTTTGCCCACCTCTCTTGAGGAACAAGTTGATGATTACACTTAAGCAAATTTTCTTACTCAGTGAATTTATAATTGTTTTGGAACAAAAACTTATTAAATATCATGAGAGAAGGGTTTTTGAAGTTTGAAAAAAAAAGGAAACTTAGGTTTCACTTTTTCTAAAAATTATCAAATATTTAGAATAACTTTGAAATGACTAACATAGTTCTAAATGATCACC